TACTGTGGCAGAACTTGCATCTGCAGGTTAAAATCTAAGGTGGAAAAGGGGAAAGGATTGGACAGTTTTAGCCCGGGGTGTGTTAAAGCTCGTCCTGCTGTGTCTTTTCAAGAGCAGGTCTCTCTTAAATGAGAGTTTTAATGAGATATTCTGTAATTTGTTGGAAATTCAGAGACTCTTAATGAGACAGCTACCAGTGCCCCTAAGAGTAGAAACAAGCTTATCTAGCAGACTAGGTCACATTCTTTATAAGAACATGTTTTGAATGAAGGGAAGAATCAGCAGGTGGACAGGAAGAAAAATTGGAGAGATGTTCTAGTAAAAAAGAAAATATTTTCCTGCATATTTACACTAATGCAGGCAACTCTGTTTAGCTATATTTAGGCTCATCTGCAGATGGATAGTTACCAGCATTATCTCAAGAAACCAGCATGGTCTTTGTATTTGATCTCAATCCGTACTACTGTATTGTGTAAATTTATCTGTTTTATCCCATATGTATTTCTATTTTGGGTAAGTCAGTTAACAGTAACTGCATTTGTACTTTTTACAGTTGGAAACACTATATCTATGCAAATTTCATCCAGCAGTTGGTCCCCTTTCCCAGTTACAAACTTCTGTATCATTTCCAATGCTTTATTCCTACAAGAGTATGTCCTCTGACACTAATAATGAAAGTTACTTCAAATTCCTCAAGCGGCCAAAAGAAGGAATGCCTGTAAATACTGATGTTCCTGATCAGTATTCTTGGCTAGCTACTGAAAACTGGCACTAAAGAGTCTAAAAAGAACTGAGATTACAAGCATTACTAACCCATTTAATAAATATTATAGACATAAGGATAACTTCATTCTTACAGGAGATAGAAGTTAAGTTAAAGTATGTCTCAGCAATGAAAGGGAGGGGGGAGAAGGGGAGAAAATGGACTTATTAGTAACTCTTTTTTTTTTCTTCTTTTCCATTTTAAGCATTCGAACTGTCCTAAAGCTCTAGAGCCAAATGTGGACCTTCCAGTTGGCCAGCAATGTGGTAACTGTCCTTTTATAATGGAATTTCTGATAGAGGGTAGAATCAAGCAAATGAAAACTCACTGGGACTAGGAAGATGATGATGTATTTTAGGGTGAGACCAGTCTGAATATTAAATAACGCTATTCAGTGGTTACTGATTTTTTTGTTATATAATTAATTAGCACTGTTTGTGGAACTTCTGTTTCTCTACTTGTTCTTCAAATTCAATAGTGCCTAACTCAATCTCCTTAATAAAAGCTTATTTCTAAACACAGTGTTAGAATTATTGAACATTAAGACTATGACTACAATTGCTGTTTCCCTCTAGTGATTTTACAGTATGTGTGTATGTGACAGAGGAAGAGCATCCTTCAGAGTCAACAGCAAGTGCTGTGGGATTCATTACACTGGTCAGTTTGCTAAGCTCAGCTGGGTTGAGAAGCAGCATTGATGTGCTGTAACTGGACTGAGAGCAGGGCAAGAACTCCCAACAGCTTTCAAGCTTCTGAGGCTATTCTAGGACTACGAAGGATGTACCATCCAGCTCTGCCTTAAAGCAGCTGTAAAGCAGTGTGGTTGGATGTATGACTTAAGTGTCCAGGTATACCCATGCTCACTTGAGAAGTCCACATTCTACCTCATTTCCTATCATCTGGCTCATTACAAGTAGCTGTAGGCAGGCGTGGTGTAAAGGTGATAGTATAGACTTAGTCACTTGCCCCAGTGCTGTCCTTCAAGCCTTTGGGAGCAGAGTTTTGTCATTTCCTTAAACTTACTGGCAATTGAAGCAGCCTTTGCAGCCAACACTGCAAAAACAAACAGTGTGGGATTGTCACCTCTATTTAGTCAGAAACAGGATCGTGCTGTTGAAGCAAGGAATGCTACTATTACAGCAACAGTCTGCTCTTGAGGGAGGTAGGGGAACAACAGTAAAGAGCATTGTGGGATGAAGGCTTTAGGGTTTTGTGGTGGTTTTTTAAAAGGTTTTAAGGGAGCCTGGTCAAAACAACTGTTACAGAGAATGCTGAATGCAAACAGTAATCTTAGAAGAAATTGTTTCTCACCACAACTACCTTATGCCAAGACAGTGCTATACAACTGGGACAATTAGATCTTTTCCATTTGTCATTGAAAAGATATCCCTAGAGTACTCTGAAAATAGTTGAGGTAGCTGCATTTTCTAACTTCATTTCAGAGTAAGCAACAAAGTTAGCTCCTGTGAATGTTGTAAGAATTCAATTTTGAGCATCTGGAAGAAATAAAGTGAATTTGTACCAGGAAAATGAGCCCTCCAACACAGCAGTGAAGTGATTCTCAGTACCTTGTAGCTCCAGAAACACTGGCTGAACATAAGAGATTCAGTAGAAAATGCTGTCAAGCTGTTCAGCAAGAATACTCTATAACTACAAGATAGTATCAATAGAATATCAGCTCAATATCTTTACAAAACTACCCCCTAATCTAACAGATTTAAAATTATACTGTAACAGTTGTTCCTCTAGGCTGCACTGACTAGATCAAGACAGACAGCATGAAAAAAATCCCTACACTTGTGTATAATAGTAAAGGGAAAATACTTAAATGATTGTTCTAGAATTAATTGCAGGATTGTGTTTTTGGCAAAAGTATATACAATTTCTACAATTTTCATTCAAAAGTAGATTTAAGCTGGGGTTTTTTTGTTTGGTTGGTTCATTTTAGGTGGATAGCAACTTCTATAAGAATCAAAAATAGACTTGTGCTGACTGGATTTGGGAAATTACCTAATATGTCATGTTCAAGCAAAGTTACAACTAGATAGATGAAAAAATAGCCTTTCACAATATTTTTGTTTAGTAAGTTTTGTTCTCCAGGCTGATGTGCAATCTCATGATAAAAGAACTGGTGTAGATGCTGACCAAGCTCTCCACTTGTTTAAAAATACTGCAGTATTATACTAGCAGTTTATACTAACAGTTTTCATGCTGTGATTTCAATTTATAGGTAGAAATGCATAGTATCATAGATTACCTATATTAAAAATGTGCAGTGTTAAAGGTGGTTGCATTGGTGCAATGACAAAGAGGTAGTCAAGTGGCACATGTGCAGATTTAAGGGTGATTTTTAACTGGTTGCATGCATCTACCAGTAGAGCTTGCATTACTGCAAGCAACCCTGGATATAATTGAGAATGCCATGTCTGGTTTTGGATCACAAAAAAAGTTATTTCTGTTAAAAGCAGCTGCAACTTTTATTTTATAGACCAAAAATGAAGCCTCCCCCCCCGCCATCATACACACACACAAATAGAAAAGGCAAGACCGTTGTAACCATTCAAGTGAATGATATGGTGGGCAAACCTCCAGGACAGTCATCTCCTCAATACATTACATCTCATTCAACACAGGTAATTCCACTCAAGTACTACAGCCTGTTTTGTTACATTTGATACACACACACGCACGCGTATGCACGCACACACTCTATATGCATAATTTCAGGTCACTTTTTACTGCATAATTAAAAATAATAAGGTAATGAAAACATCGCAATGATAATTTTACAGCAACAGAGGTCTGAGGCACTCAGGGCAGAAAAGACATTTTCTGGCAAATTTGGTATTTGGTAGTACATGAGTCCAGTTCTGTGAAGCACTAACCCCTTTCCCCCACCTAAATTCTGCAGTGCCAAGGGGAGCCAAGGGTATGCAGTACCTCATGTGCTTGGGTCTAATGTGGCAACAAATTCACCAGACACCTTGTAAAAGGTGTATTTTATGCCCATGATTGTATGATTTAATGTCTGCATTGGTTTAACAATTTTTTGCATTACAGTGGTATAAGACTAAGACTGCAATGGGGTCTGAAAAATTTTTCATTACAATTCAGAAGAAAAAACTAAATTCCCTCAGCAGAGACACCAAAGATGATGGAAAGGAAGCGGGCATGGGAAAAGAGAGGGTAGAGAGAAGAGAGGCTTAATCAATCCACACTCCTTAACATCACAGTTTCCAGCTCATCACAACCCACTGACAGAAAATAAAGAGGTATATATACTAACATTGCCCACTCTATACCCAGTCTGAGGAAAAAAGATGAGTTTTCATAGCAAGAAACTCACTTAGGGGGGGAAAAATGTCCTGTTTAAAAATTACCAAAAGAAAATGAATACAGCATTGAAGGCATTTCATTTTCACACACTCAGACTTGTTTTGAGATATATACTTGTTTCACTGTAAGTCTTACAAATCCGGTCCCCCACAGCTACTGTGGATGTACCTTTAAAAAACACCCCACAGTTAACACGTGCAGGGATCCCATGCATCGTGGGATCTTTTTTGGTTCTTCTTTCATTTCTTTACCTAGGCAAGTCTGATACCTCAGCTTCACCAAGCTTTTGGAGCAGGAGACTACCTGCAAATAATACTGCTTCGCCGAGAAGCAGCTTATACCAGGGAGCTGCATATAAGACAGAATTTACTAATTTTCCCTGTAGGAAGCCCATACTATCAAATCTCCAGCAAGAGAAAAGTCCTGCCATTAACACGTGTCTCCTACAGTCACAATCACCACAGAAGCCACCAGCAGAGAGTTGGGGACAGAATTAAAGGTAAGGTTAGCCTATTGTTGGCAACATGCATGTCTTTCTCCCTGCTGCCCCCTTCTCAACTGAGAAACAAACAAGGCCCAGCCCATTAGAACAGTATCTGCAGAAGCAGGAGCAAGTCTTTGGAACTAGAAATGCTTAAAATCTCAGGTGCCACTCGCATACCAAGAGCGACAGGGCACGCTGAAGTGGTGAAAAAAAACCCGGATCCCAAAATACCAAGTCCCAGTGGGAGAGGTTACCCACACTTTTCTAGCTAATATCGTGGTAGCAATAGAAGCAACTGTGGGTCTAATTGGAAGAAAGGTGCTAAAAGAGATTATTGAAGAAAAAAAGAAAAGTATAGCACGAGTGTTGTAGGTAGGAGGAAAGCAGGAAATTATTCTCTGCTTTTCCAGACATTGGGTCAGGTTCTTCAAGATATTCCTCTTATCTACAATCACTGAGAACAAAGTAAATGATGAAATCTCTCTATTCTGTACTCTTAAAAAAATGCATAGTACAGAGACAAAAAAAATATATATATGTCTCATTCAGATCCACCTGCTCAGTCTAGACTTATCACTGGGACATGAAATGGGGACGAATACTATCCAGGCGCCGAGTCAAGATCTCACAGCCTGTATCGGTGACCAGAAGCGTGTGTTCAAACTGAGCAGATCGCTTTCCATCTCTTGTTACCGCAGTCCAACCATCAGGCCATGTTTCATCTTGCCAACCACCTAAAAACATAAATGATGACTTTTTGACTGAAGTAACAGATATCAGTTCCCCAAAGAGAAATGAAAAAATCTATCAGCTATGCAGAATAGAACCAGCATCCTATTCCATCACTACTTAACAGTAAACAAGAGGAACCAATTTACTCTACTGCTAAATTGCTCACCTTCACAGATCATTGGTTCAATTGTAAATACGTGACCTGGCTTCATGACTCCAACTGCCTTATTTTCTGCAATAAAATAAACACTCAGGTTAGAAAAAGTGGTCCCATCTTAGTAAATGAATGAATCTTTGTCCTAGAAGGATACAGCAGGAGTACTGTAAAGTCAGAAAAGCCCTTCAGAGGTAACCCGTTCACTTGTCCATTTTTAATTCTACATTAAGGTTTCCCTTAATTCTTTCATTCTCCCCCTCCTCTGACACCATGGTATTTACTCAAGGAGCTTAAAATGAATTGCTTTCTCTCTAACAACTGGAGTTCAACTCCAGTTCTATAAAAACACTGAAAAAATGTAATACAGGAATTTCTAAAAATTTTCTATGATAAAAAAATCATTAAAAAAATCAATAAAAATAAGAAGCACTTAAACTATTCAGAGAAGGTTGGAAACCTTTTAATTTGTTTCCACTGAACCATTAGCTCCAATAAATTGTCAGAATATGATAGCCATTAAGTAATCTCATGATTCCATTTATGAAAGACACATTGCTCCCCTCATTACTCTCGGTAATGGGGTCATAGTAGTGTCAGGATGATAGTGCTGTATTTCTTTTGCTAACATAAAAAGGCAGAGAATTTCAAGGCATCCTGGACAATAATACTGGGACTTTTTGATGTTATATACACCAAAAATGTTTCTGTGGAGGCATGCGAACTGATGCACAGCGCGTCTATAGGAGTGTGGTTTGACTGAAGAAAGGCTTCAGCCCTTTTCCTCTGCCCCGTTTCACCTTGAACGGCAGTGCAGCTTAGTTCTGACTCAGCCTAACATGCGAGAGCTGGAACAAACTCCCGTATTGCACAGGAACCATTAGCTCCAAGCTACTTTGCTGCTGTGGACAATTTGCATCAGTTCTTACATACAGATTCCCCATCCCCCTAATTGTGTAAATCTATAAAATTGCCTAAATCACCTAGATGCTTTAAAAGTCTCAGACATCACGCTGATAACAACAGCAACCAGAACATCTTTGTTTTACTTACAGGGTCCTGCCTCTATCCCCATCATCTGCTGGTATTTTTTTGCTCTCAACACTTACATTTAAGTTTCTGGTCTTCTGCATCTGAACAGATTTTGTCCTTTATTCCCTCTATTTTTCATGATTTTGTTAAATATTTTAAAGGCTTACAAAATTAGCTTTCTGCTTTTAAAAATCCTTTCATAGTAAGCCAGAAATAAGCAGCAGCTTTTATTTTTTTTCCTCCAAGAGGCTTTAAATCCATGAGCTCCTTCCACTTTGCTTTTGCTGTGAATCTGTACTTAAAAATACCAGAAAAAAACCAGCATCTTCCTTTTTGGGAACAGACATTTCAGCTCAATTAAAAAAAAAAAAAAATATTCAAAGTTCCCAACAGCCAGGAAAGACACAAATTTCCTTTTTCACCCATTGCATTTTAATTGGTATAAAATGCCCTCCCATCTCCATAAAGTCGAGATTTTCTTCATTTTACACAACAAAAACTAAATACCAGGAATTGATACCCTTCTACCCTGTGACTAACAGGTTTTCTCTGTTCTCTAAAAAAATAACTTAGGGAAATGATGACATGAAAAGTGTTAAAGCTCATTAGGTGATGGGCAGATGGAGGCATCTGTCAGGTCTGAGGAAATAAATGTCCTATCAGGCACAACACTTGTCTATACCATTTAAAAAAACCCTTCTATTTACATCTGGAAATGGCAGTAAGTTTTTGCTTAGACTTTCTAAGGACAGAAACGTTTGCCTATTCATGTCAGACAAGGATGTCTAAAGGATTAGTTGGGAATTCATGCAAAAACATTGAGCACTTACCCAGTACAGATGAGAGTTAATGCTAATCATTAGTGCAGGCATAGATTGTCTCAGTATATAATATATTCACCTTATTTAGGTTCATAAGGCATACTATGGTCCAGAGTTTAGGAAAAAAAATTACTTCACAAGTGCAAAAACACTAACTTGATGACTGTCAGGCAACATGCTACTTTATTAGAATATAAGCAAGAAGTAAATTAGGTGCATTCATTGCAAACCACTTCTTGCCTACAGGACAACCCAAAAGGAATGAATACTCACTGGCATAATGTGGCACGTTAGGGGCCGTATGGAAAAGTTTATGGATTCCATGCCCACAGTAGCTCCGAACCACTGAAAATCCATTTGCTTGAGCATGTTTCTGAATAATGTTTCCCAGTTCTCTGTACCGAACACCAGGTTTTACTGCAAAATTAAAGAGATACAGATGGAAATTTATAGAGCTTTCCTTCAACATAACTAACCATCAAACACCATACAGGCTATATCTCTGTAGTGCTCGTGGCTTGTATGGCCATCTGTTCTAGTATGCAACTTCCTATGATCGCTTAATCAACCAGGTATGTGAGTGCAATAACATGACAGAGGGAGGAAACAGTCTCATATAAAAGAGAAAATGAGAGAGAAAGAAGGAAACTCCTTCACAAGAACACTACTTTCTTCCTTTTGTGGATGTAAGTGCTCACATCTTAAAAGGATGTTGAAGTTTGAAATTAAAAACAAAATACTTTCAAAGTACTTGATAACTTCTCATACTCAGAATTGCAGTGCTTCTTTCAATGAATGTATGAACTATATTTTAATGTACACTTATGTCTCTACTACTATGTGAAAAGTGCACACAAAGAGGAAAAACGATCATATGTGAAGGACCAAGAAGGGGGAAACAAAAAGCCAAAACTCTAGTTATCTAGGTATCTCTAGTCTTAGACAAGATTTTTAGTGGCAACGCTACAGCAGAGAAGAATGTTCATATGTAGGACTAACTTTTTTGACAATCTTTTCAGGAAGAATTAAAAGTTAAAGAGTTTGAAACAGATAAAAATGGTGTGAAAAATTCACTTTGAGCACCTGGACAGGGGAGTAATAATACCATAAAAGCAATATTGCCTCATCCATCAGCTAATGAAGATGCATACCTTGAGCCACTAAAAAGAAAAAAAGAATGCAAAGGCTATTTCAAGATCATTCATAACCATGAATATATACTGCTCCTTCAGGAACTAGATGTGTGGTTACGTGGAACCATCTTAAGCAGAGGTCACATACATAGCTAAAACTTTACACGAAGCAAGCCATTTAGTTCAATTCTCTGCTAATGTAAACAACTTCAACTTAAATCAGTAAGCTGAATTTACAGAAAATAACAAGAAATTTAGATTACTGGAATGTGTGTACTTTTCCCAAAATAAATAAATAAATAGACACTGTGGGGAAGAGAGGAAAAAATCTGTTGGTTTTGTGCTAAATAGTTGTGAAGTAGTACCATGTGTCCATCAGGCCTGACAATACACCAAGGAACTCATCTCAATGCAGCAAGGAGTGCTCTGCTTCTCTCTCTCATACAACTCTCCTAGTTACAGCTCTGCTGGTCCAATGCCAAGAAATTAAGATGATTTAAACAGGGGAGAGGTGACCCTTTTTAACCGCTGAGGCACTCGCTGCCAATTCCTACTAGCAGGGAATGGCTAAAACCCATTAAACCCTGTTACAGCATCTAAAAAGTTGGTAAAGAAAAGTTACACTGAGAATTTAAATCTCATAATGAACACAAAGGTGAATTTCTCTCATAGTTTATACATCAAAGCCAGGTTATGAAAGAGAAGAGACAACATGTATAACATTTACTATAAAAATAAAGTACAGGAGCAAAGATAAACATTCTGATTTAGCTCTGAAAAACGAAGTGGTCATTTCAGAATAGTAATCCCACATAAATAGGTGATCTATATTCTTCACAGCTCAACTCTGCAGTATTTTCTTGATCGCACAATCGATATGCAAGACATCATTCATATGGATTTTTGTCTTTTCAGCTTGGCTAGCTATCTCCAAATTATTAACCCAAGTTCATTATAATTTTTTTTGTTTACTTTTGATTCAATGCAAGTTTAAAGCCTTCATATATAGCACCTTAATCTTCAGCCTTTAGAGGCCATGAGGTGAGTAAATTTTATTGGGGATTTTAAGAATCTACAGAGTATAAAATATACAGATGATACAAATATTTCCAGGGACTTGGGAGATTTTTGTTTTGTTTTCTCTGTTTGTCTAAGAGAACTTAGTATATTCCTTTGTGAATGAAGTTGAACATGACATTCTCTAGCTGTCTATCTCATTGTATGTTTCAATGAGCTGTGCTCAGTTATATCGAAGCAACATAATTAAAATTCTGTGGGTACTGAAGGATATGGATCTCTCTTCTCTGGCACACTCCCACAGTTGAAAATCAAGAGGTCATGATTAGACTTACGAAATAACCATCAGGTTTGACAGGGGTAAAGAGATCTGTTTAAGAGTTCAATGTTTTACTTCATTGGTTCATTGTGCAACATCACACAAATTATAAAAGTAGGAAACCTACTTTCCTTTTCCAAAACACATTTTGTTCTTCACGTTCTCTAAACTGCTCAGATCAAGAATGTCTTATTCAGCTAGCTAATAGCACAAAAAGGCTGTTTCCATGTAAATATCATCATATGTGGATCAGCTCAGCATCAATTACATTTTCCTTGTCAACCCACATTTCAAATAAAAGTTGTAACCACCGCCCACAGAACTGTGCCACTTGAAGAATCACTGCACTGTACAATACATATCATCTGCTAGTGACACACACTAAAGCTTCTGTGTTCTACAACAGAAGTCATTCCCGGGTAATAGCAAATATAAGCACTCATGTTTGAAAACCAAAACCATAATGCTTCAGGCTACAGCCAAAGGGTTCACCTGCATCGATGGCTTGCATTAGGCACTCGTAAGTTGTTTGGACAAGTCTCCTTGCACCCTCATCAACTTCTCCAACGTAAAATGTCTCGTTCAGATCGCCATGGTAGCCATTACGATAGACAGTAATATCCACTGCAAAGAATACCAGATATGTTATAATACTACCACTGTATTTCTCGCTCCTTGTCTCTTGATTTGTGAAAGGACAACAAAAACATGTAAAAATGTAGCAGTGTAATTGTGAAGTTGTGTACTTTGGAAGAAGTCAATATGTAAACTCTTCCAGCAGAATCAATTCTCTCATGCTTATCCTGTAGATTCTATAGAATTAATAAGATAGTGTTTCACTGGTCAACGGTTTGATTTAACAAAAGAAAAAAAAAAAGGAAAATAAAAACCCCATACCAATACAACATAGACACAGCAAGCTTATGATTGGTTTTCTAGGTAAATATAAAAACAGGAAAGAGAAGTTCTTTGCTCCATGGTGATTTACCTGGTTAAAACATTTTCTTAGAACTAATTCCGGCACTAATAGAGGGAAATTTTTAAAGGTATGTAATGATGTTTTAACACATATTTTAACTGCAGTCATTTCTATGCATGTTTAGAATAAACCAGGTATTTGCAAAAATTGTAATGCGAAACCCCATTGCTTCCAGCAAAAAAGGTAAAATTTCTTGAACATTAAATACACAGCAACTTTCCAACAGTATTCCTGACTAAGAAAAACACACCAAATAAAAGGTTTTTTTCTTTTTTCTTTCAAATGAAAGAATTTAAACATTCAGTATCAGGCAAAGAGCAAGAATGAAGAGGGCATGCTTAAATAACCAACGTTTAGAAGAACACATAATAAGAGTTTAGAATTATGTGGAAGCAAAACCCTAACTTGTTTGCTTTGTGTACAAAGTTGGCTGTAAACTAAAAGTGATATAATTAATTCCTGAAAAATAGCAGCATAAGTAGTTTTGATGAGGGAAAAAAAAAATCTTTTTTAGTTTAACTTACTCCAAAAAAAGATATGCTTTTTTGGATTAAGAACATCCATACAAGATGTTTGTTGCAAATAGTCCTTTTACAAAACATGGGAACCAGCCTACCAGTTTAGACATAGCTGTCATCTATTCTAGTATCCTGTCTCTCATAGCAGACGAGTAAAAAAAGTAAAACCTGCCATCATACAGTCATTATATATAGTAAACCCATGCAAAATATTCTAGATTTGCCTATCAAGTTGACTTCCTGTGGTAGGATGGGTACTTTTGTGTTTAACAGACTTTGTCAGTAGTCTGGTAGGTCTACCACTAGAATAATTATTGAACTGCTATTTGTGAAGAAATCCACCTGCAGACCCCCTCCTCCCAGGGAAACAGCCATGAAGGAAACTCTGCTGAGCAATAATGCTTTAGGACTATGGTATATGAGCTGCTTAGAGAGACCAGTACAACCTTGATAGGAAAACACAGGGAAAAAACACCACTGGTGTCAACAGTAAATCTGTACTGCTGGCAAACATTTAAGAGTGAAATTAACACTGCACAAAACCAACACTGCCTGCCACGGATGCATGCACGTGCAGGGTTACGCTATACTTGCTGCAGGATTGCATGGGACTAGTGGACCGTTTCAACCAGCGTCCATCTCTAGCAATGTAACAACAGGACTGTAGAGAAACCAGCACCCTGGTAACTTATCCAGGTAAGTTTCCTGTGAACTGTCTATCCGAGCTCCTTAGCACACTGTCCAGACTACTTGCTGCAAAGAAGCTATCTCTACAGGCCACATGATTACAAGACTTTCTTTTGATGCTGCCAGATTTGGCCAGAACATCTCACGTTGCAGAGAGATCAGCTTTGTTTAAGAATCTGCTCCCAGGGAACCAGTATAACAAAATGCTGTGATGCCTGCTTGCAGGAGGTGGAACTAGTTACCACCTGCCAGTACCTTCTGGATGATGTTTTCCTGTGATTTTAAAAACCTGGTTTGGCCTCTGACGTGGCCACCTTTTGCTTCCAGCAGGCTAAAAAGTTTTAAGTAAAGAGAAAGATGGGCACTTCCCTCCATTGTTCACTGGGCATGTTCCCTGCAAAGTACTTTTTCTCTCTCCTGCTTTGTACCCTGTTTTGTTCCTCCTCTTATAGCGCCTTTTGAGCCACTACCTTACCAAAAGGAACCCTGCAAGATTTGGAAGCCTTCTGAGGCCACGGGAAATGCATCTTCAATCCACAACATGTGGACCATTTTGTAACAAGACCAACAGCGACAAAAGAGTAAACTAGTTCTTCCTCATCCAAAGAAAGCAGAAGGCTTGGGCAAGTGCAGTCAGGGCAGGGATGTGGACAAAGGTATGACTAAACTTTCTTATAAAAGGTGTTTCCTAGTGTTGAGGTACAGCCTTGGCATGCAAATAGTGGCAAGGTAATGCACTGTGTAGGATGAAGCCAACCTAGTAAGCTTAACTGGCCTTCTTAGTTTGGACTCTAGCAATGCCAGGAAAGCTGGCAACAACAGAGAGCTGTGCAAAGGCATCATCTTTGAAATTAAAAAAAAAAAGAAAAAGATAAAGTAGCTTTGACCAAATGGTTACATGTACACTACAGCCCAGAGCTATCAGCCAGACCAAATATGACCTAGAAAGAGGCAGCAATTGTGAGGCTTGTTCTGAAAATGCTGGTACCCATAGCACTGAGCTGTAGACTTAGTAGCTATTATTGTGTTAACATATATCAAATATCTGTCAATCTAAAAGGATTCCAACTTGCTTCTAGAGGCAGGCCAAACCTTAGGATACACTGGGTATTTATTTATGGATAAAAGAAAAGCAAACCAATGCAATAAACAAAGGTCCAATTGTTAGTACCAAAAAAAAAAAAAGTGTCATTAATTTTTACTGCCAAACCCAGAAGAACTGAATGACAAAAGGAAAAACAGTCAAGTAGTTTATAAAAGTATCCCTCACCACCCCAGAAGGCTTAAGCACCTTGAGTATCATGAATAAAAAGTAGGTGGTACTGTTAGGCTGAGAGATGCTCAAAAAAGGGGTGTGCTTTTTAATAGGCTCCTATACGATGCCTCACCATTAGGATCCTTAACAGTCATCATAATCATCATGTCTGTAGCAAAATCTTAAGGATCGAGAGCCATCTAATTAAGAATTCACACAGAACTAATCCAGTTGAATAATTCAATATACATTTTATTCACCATTTATACAGTCTGTAACAACTGGAACCTAGCCCACAAGTGGAATACTCAGGCACTATACTAATGCACAGACTAGGGTAGAAGAATTATAAAGCTCTTAAAATGGATCAAACTTCTAAAATAGTTTTATTAAATAAACTCATTAACTTCAATATGTACTTAATTGGTAAATGAAAACAAAAGCCTCTTTTAAGAAGCTATTCCAATCATGTTGTCTGCTAGTGAAACCTCACCTTACTGCGTGGTTTAACTGGACAAAACGTAGAAATGTTGAAGGTCAGAAATGCTGAGTTAATTTTCATAGCACTTACCATTAACAATATCTCCCTCCTGCAATGGCCTCCGGTCAGGAATTCCATGACAGATCACTTCATTCACTGATGTACAACACGACTTAGGGAAATTATAATAATTCAGAGGGGAAGGATAGCAATTCCTTGCAATACAAGCCTAATTTAGAAAATACAATTTACACTTTATGTTAGTAAGTTTTGTACAAAGAAAAAATGTGCACACAACAGCTTTACAGTGATAATGATAGGCTGAAGAGCAGTGACTCTTGAAAATTAGTTTCTTCAAGCATTTTTTGGCATTACGGTATTTTGTTACACTTTGTACTTCTTACTAGGAAAAAAGTAAAGCTACTTTAATTTTGTTTCTACTCATTTTTATGTTCAACTACCAATGCTGAAATATTCAGGTTTAAAACAATGCACAGCAATATTTATTTGGTTAAAAAAACCAGCCATTTTCAATGACTGTTTTTTAAGCACCTGGTCTAAGACTAAGTATTTTTGCAAAACACACAAGCTACACAAAATAACATTTAGCACCTCTCACCCCTAGCTTTAAAACCTTAAACTGCCTCCTTTGCACTCACTCTAATAACCTGTTTGAGATTTTTGTTTTATATTTACTTACATACATAGACATATACATGCTAGGTGACATACTGAGCAATTCTGGAAAAATAATACTGTGTTAACTTTTTTTTTTTTTTTAAATAATACCGTTTAAACCCACAAAATGCCAATTGGAGGTATCAGTCAGTATCAGCAATCTGCCATACAAAAGTTTTTGGAAACTGCTGAAGAAGAATAACACCATTTTAACTACTAGTTGTTCATATTGGACATTATGAATAAGCAAGTAATTTAGTGTTTAATGCAGTTCAATAGAAACCTCCAGCCTAATCAAACCACAGTATAAGTTCCTTACAATCTTGGCTCAACAGCTGCAAATGCAGCTATACCAAAATTGTTGCCTTCCCCACGGTGCACACAAGTATGCTCAATAATCAGTTTACATGCCTTATAGAAAAGACCGCAAAGAAAAACAAAAGGATTACTCAATTCAGGTATCTATGAATAGTTAAGCCAGGAAAATACTTGAATATGTATTTCAAATACTTCTCTGGATTGTCCTTTAGTTTCCCTGACTGCACCAAACATCTTGTTTCAATTCTCTCTCAGGCTCCTCAGTTCTGATTCCCGATCATAAATAAACTTTCTCCTCTGTGCATCTTAACCAACAACACAGAGCACACAAAAAATCCATGGCCTACATATGATGTTCTTTATATATTGGTATCTGTGGAGCAAAAAGGGTTTAGAGGAAAGAAAATTATATGATGTTAACTCAGAAAACAGGTGAAGAAACTTAGAGGGAATCTGAAGCTGGAAATCATGGAAGGAGCTGATTCAGAGAGAGGCTCAGGAGTTCCTAACTCGGGGCTCATTTTGAATTTACCATTGTGCTGTAATGTATTCTAACATCTGCACTACACACTAGCTTCAAATTGGGAAACAGTTCAAAATAAAGAACAGGAATTCATGCAACAACAAAGAAAACCACGCAGCAATCATTCAAAAATAAAGAGATAAAAGGAAGCATTATAAACACCAGAAGAACAATAAAATAACCTTACTAAATGGACAGCATGATCAATTTCTTCCGTAGTTACACCTGCTTTCACCATCATGGCAGCAACATCCAATACTTCCCTAGCAAGCTGCAAATGAAACAAAAGTACTGATTTAAAATAAGACCAGGACTATTCCTTAGAAGGTTAGCAACCCATTTGCTACAGCTATGCTGAGATTGCTAGTAAAGCTTGGCAGATTTAGGCTCTAGAAAGACTTCAAGATGTCGACAGGTTATATTACTAAGCCACCTCTGTGAGATTTGAAAATACCCCAATTAAGATTTGGGCCACAATCTCCTTGAATACCAAACGTAAACCAGACTACCTAAATACATTTCAAAGTTTGACTTTATGCACAAGGAAGTGATTACAAATGAACGGCTCTTCTTCAAAAATTGTTAGGGATGGGGCCTTGTTTTGATTTTGCTTTTTAGTTTTTACTTAGTACAAACTCTTGGAGCGAAAGACATTCTGTTCTTGTTTATGCACTATAAAATATGTTTTAACAGTAACGTCTCAGCCACAGATTATCTCACTAATAACAACAAAGCCAAAAACCAGGCAGAAATCATCTTTCTGCTTGCAAAATAGTTTACTGTGAATTGGGAGTCACAAGGAGAGAGACACCAATAAAATACCAACTTTCCCAAAATATTTTTCAGTGCTTAAAAGTGGTTTGAAAGTTTGTACTCTCAAATGTGCTGTCACAAACTGGTAAAATCACTGTAGATTTTTAAAGAATAAAGGCACTCCGTAATGAAAACCAAATCTCCCTTACCCTACACACTACTCTCATCCCTTCTATATCCTCAGATGAGAGTATTTTTATTTGAGAGGTTCCTTTTAAAGCCTGTTCTGATTCAGACATTCCTGAAAAGGAAAAAAGGGGGAGGAGAAAAAAACAGAAAGAAGAAAAAAACATGTTACGTGGAAGAGTGATTGCTACACATGTCCAATCAAGGAACTTACTTAGCTTACCAATGGCAATAAAAGTATGTACTTTCTCACCACAGACTAAAGTAACAAACCCACACAGTCATAGTATTACCATAATTCTCCAGATCAATTTGAATTCATAAGCCTTCCACAAATAATGCTCACATGTGCTCAGGATGCCCATTCCCTTACTGCATAAAACCACCATGTCCAGTTAGTCAAAACACAACCTTAAAAATCATATTCACAAGGAAATTGTTTTATTCACAGAGCAGTAATTTTTCTTTTTTTTTTTTTTTAGCTGCTTTGGAGATAATAAATACTAATAAATAATATTCTAAAAGAGCCATAAAGCTTGTGAATATTTCTAGTTATATTATTGCAATAATCACCTGATAAAAACATGTAAATTCTTCCTACCAGATTCTGTACAAGCCCAGTTTTATAGTTGAATGACCCCCTAAAAGACAGTGTTTTGTGTTATTTAAATATTTACATTCTGTAAAGAACAACTAAAGAACGGCTGAAAATTTTAAAATCCTTCTAACAGACTTTATAGCAACTTTTTTGGGAAATGCAAAGCACCAATACCAATGTAAAAAAGGGGAAAATACCAAAACAAACCAATAACCAAGTAATTTTGAATATCTTCTTTCTATGTCCAAAAATAGCTGGAACTCATATATCAGTTTTGGTTTGGGGGTTGCTTACTGCAGTTTTGTTTGGTTTTGTTGTAACACATTTCCAACAGATACACTGATGTCACTGAGAATGACTTCGCAGAAGTCACCTGTGACAGCCAACGTATCTCCTTCATGCTTTAAAGGCTTCTTTCATTAAAAGAAAAATAGAAAGCAAAAATAACACTCCATAATTGTGGTTTATTTCAAGTTACCTAGTGGGTGATCAGCATAATCCGGTCTCTGAATATAACTTGGCACAGGTCTTGTTGGTGTCTAAATAAATCATAGTCAAAGCTGGTTAGGTTGCAAGAATACTTATTACAGTCATAAAATCAGAGACTCACGCAGCAAAATTAAATACAGTGAAATATGGCTAATTCCACTTAGAAAAAGTTGTGAAGTATGCAAACACTCCAAAACAGTTCCAATTTTCATTTCTCAAAGATTCTCCTGTTACTCTTTATTGCTTTCATATCATACAACCTCTAATAGCCAACTTCACAGCTTTGTAAAAATCAGACTTTTATGCGTCAATAAATGAAATTGGATTTATAACATATTATCCCTGTTATATTGTAGTGTTTGTTCTGCTTCTTTCCAGACTGCAAATGCACTGGTTCTAAATACATCCTTCCTCTCTCTGATTATTAGTGTCTATTAGCAAGATTGTTATTTCTAATCATCACCCTAGTCATTAGCACTTTTTATTATAGTTTCATTTGCATCAATCTTACAGCAGTCAGAAGGCAACAAAGCAAATGTTCAGTGATAACAATACTAAATTACTTGGCCAGCGACATATCCAAAACACT